GGTAGGTTGAGGTGAATTAATCTTCCTTTACGGTTAGGTTCAATGACAGCAAGACATCCCTGAGGCTTCCCATTCCCATTTATCCTTGTGCTGACTTGCACTGACAGAACTGTTTTTCTTGGTCCCCTTTGCTCTCCAGCAAGGTAGGCTTCATACCACCATAAACGGGTGGAATGAATTGAGCTGGTTTTTTTTTCCTCATTTATAGGGACACAGTCAACTTGAAAATTAGTAATTTCCAAAGTAAAGTGAATAAAAAGAATTACAGGTACCATATCTGTTCCTGAGATTTCCTTATCAGGATTTTATAATCCAAGTTGTAAGCATTTTGTCCCACCTCTAGCAAAATGGAACACTCAAATAAAGTAGGAAATTGGATGAGAAGATGATATGATTGAAAAAGCAATCAAAATGCACGTCAAATGCACAAAATACTTAATAGAGAATTCAAATACCCCTCATGGCTACTGTTAGTAATATAAAGTGGGTCTTGCAACATTAAATAAATGAAAAACATCCATGGAAAAGAGAACAACTATGCAGTTGACAACCTTCCTCTATTTCACTGTATCAATAACCAAGCCTTTGCAGCAAAATTAATCCAAATTCTGCAGCAGTAGTGCTGCAGACTAGAATTTCTGTCGCATTTTGTGATAGTTTTAAAAAATGAGATTTCATAAGTGCAGTAGGGTAAGACAGCATGTGTTATATGAATGCTGTAGCATTCTCTTTCAAACATGAATGTATGCCAAAGTACCCTTCATGGACAGGCTCACTGAAATCAACAGAAAATCTTCAAAATTGTAAAATCAACTGTCTGCATAAGACTTGGAAGGATCTGGAGCATTTAAAACTTTGGAGCCCAACTCTTTCTCAACACTATTGAATAACACTAGTGATATAATGTCTGCTCAGTTAATTATGTTTTGATTTATACTTTGCCATAATTGCAATTGTTACAGGGTAGTTTATGTAGAAAATGAAAAAAAAAAAAACCAAACCAACAGAAAATTCCTTTGGAGAAAGATGAACACAGGTTATTGGGGCAAAAGTCTTTTACATAGCATGAAAGACAGTTGACACTTGAATTATGCATGCTACAAAAAAAAGAGACTATCATAATATTTAACTAAGTGGGTGCTCTCTCCGCAAAAATTGATTTTCGAACAACACGTATCAGAGCTACTGCTTATGCACCTAGGAAAGCAGATAGATACCTCAGTGTGCACAAGGCTAGACTTCCGGAGTACATTGCTTCAGCAAATTCATGGCCATGGACTAAACGAAAGCCCGATTAAAGCCAGCAGATTATCCACATCTAAGCCATCGCATTTTGCCCAATGAGAACAAGAGAGAATTTGATACGTTCTTGTTTTGCTGTTTTTCTCTTTTTCACACTCCTCAGTTACTATTTTCGCATCTAACAAGACTTTCCAAATGCTAATAATATTGCTGCATTTGATTTATGTTGTTCTCAAATGCATTGTGAGACCCCTAGTAAAGATAAAAATTAGCAAAAGTAGCGTGCTGGTGTTGCCATTCACAAAGATCTCTTAACAACAGTTTTCGTCCATTTTAGACTCTAATTATACATGACAGCCTACAGTTTTTCTTGGAAATGTTGAGGAAAATCACAATCTTTCAGCCTGTCGCAGGAACAAAAAGGTAAGTTTTTTCAAAAACTTAATTTAAATACAGCTCATCTCCAGAAGAGGCAAGAGGCATTTTCTGGAGTTAAGGCATTAAATTACAACTTTCTGCTCCTTTAGAAATCTGTGTGTAATATACCCGCTTGCATGAATTTAAAAAATTGCAAGCTCAGCCTACAAAAGCTTCTTTTATTTTTGATACTTGTATTTTCATTCAGACAGAGATTTTTGGAAGACCTTCTTTTTTCCTGAAAACTCCCAGTTCCAGTGTGTGAGTCTGTCCCTAAATGCAAATAAAGTATTAAGCAACCGAATTAAATTCTGACTTTTCTCTGGTGAAAAATTGAAAACCTCGTATTTTCATAATTCACTACATACTGTAAACACTTCTTTTCATATCCATGCCTGTCTTGGATTTTTATTTTTTTTCTCATTGATATCTGATAATATTGCTGGCTGCAGAAGCCAGAGAGCTCTGTAAAGTAGATCATTATATTCTTGGAGGCAAGACAGAAGAGAACTGGACAGTAAAAAATGTGTTTCTTTTAATTATTTTGTATATGTATCTGCATGTAGAAAAAGCACCCAGGAAAGCAAGAAAGAGGATTGTGTCTGGTTAAATATTTTTAAGAAAGTTACACCTTTGCCTTGTTAAATTTGCTAGTAAAAGGAACACTTTCTGCTACCAAATACCAAATGTTTGTACATGTGCAACACAACTTTGGATTCTTCTCACTGCTTAATTCTAGGACTGCCATCCCTTGAATGTAGGAATGTTGCTGTTGCTTACATACGGTAGTTACTGCTGCTTTGCAGTAAGGAATTTGTTGTCTAAATAAGGGAAAGCAAAATTCTTCAGTTTCTTGTACTGTAAATTGGGTAAGCACATGCAGAGGACTGTGACATAGAATTCCTCATCTGATATATACATGTTTTCTTATCAGCCAAAGTAAACGATTGCATACTTTTTCAGACCATGTTCCTCAGTGCTTAATAACGTTATCCTTGGCACAAGCCAGGAGTATTTGAATTAACATTTAGTATGTTAATCCAAACTAAGTAATTTTGAGTTGAAGCTAGACCTGGGTAAGTCTAGACTAGCTCTTCCAGACCGCTCAGCAAAGGTGCTCTGGTTTCTTAGAGGAACTATAAAGGTTCATTTCCTGTGTTTGAGGATTTGGATGCCAAGGGTGAGTATTTCTAGAAGCATTTATAGTTCAGTCTGCATCCTCTGTGTAGCGATCACATCTTCAAAATTTTGACTGAAGATTCTTTAACACAGTACTAATTTTCTAACTCTTCAAATTCATGCAGCCGCATACCCTGAGTTTAACAGAATGTTTGGGTTTTGTTTAACTTCCAGATACTGATACAAAGATTGATAGGAAAAAAATGGCAAAACTCTGTGTTGTGGATTGTTTGCAATGGCTTTAGAGAGAAACTAAATACTGGAAAATCCCACTCCTAAGTAGAAATTAAAGATGAAAGAACAGGTGAGAGGAAAAAGAGGCCATCGACGAATAATGGTTTTTCCACAGAATCTTTATGATAATCTCTGGTATTTCAGCTTGCAATATATACACAGGTTTCACAAACGACAGAAAAGGTCATGGAGTTTGAAAGGAGCTAGTCTGAGGAAGGTAGGAGAAAGGAGACAGCTCTAGTCAAAGGAGTCACTAAAAGAGGAGAGATGAGAAAATAAAACAGAACATGGTGAAGGATTGCATTTCTTTATTCTATGTCCGCTGGTGCATGCCAGGGTAAATAAAAACTCTACAACATTCAAACAGCCAGGTTAGGCATATAAATCAATACTCTGTGACAGAAACATAAGGAGGAAGGTAATCATTTGTGGCACAGCCACAGCGTGGAGGGTATCTAGTTGAGAAGACACTGGCCACTGAAGTGGATGCCAAATACACTGACTGTTACAGCTAGTGGAAATAGGCCTTTAAGTGCAGTCAGAGAGACCCAAATATTATTTAATGCCAGTCTGAAAAAACTGAAGCTTTTGGACAGTAAAGAGTAGCACAGCTATAAACTGCCTCAAATTTCTGCGGTGGCCATGGAAATACTGTCTGGATGAGAGTGCTACTGGTAAAATGGCTCATCCTGAATTGTAGCAGGCTAAGTCAAGCCCCTGCCATTCTGTTGTTACCTAACTGAGCTACAAATACATAAATAAGGTCATGCCTATCTTGATGAGCATACCTGTAGCTATGCCTACAATTTTGAAGTCTACCACAAACTTATGCTTGCATCAGTACTAAGTGTAGAAGATATTCTCCAGATGCAAACCCTTCTTATGCTAAAGCCATTTTTAGGCATTCAGAGGGGATGACCCTAGGAAATTCTGCCTCGAGAATTAGTGCTGCCTTCTGAAGTGACATACCCACATGCTGTGTCCCCACAGTTTTCCCAGTATTCGTTGCACTGTTTATACTGACGTACACAGTTTTTCATACAGTCTTGCTGCAGATGCTGACTTGGGAGCAATGCTAGGCAAAAGGCCTAGTTGTTTCAAGTCGCCAGACAGGTTCAGAAAATGCAAAATATTCCAAGATACCTGTCCATAAATCCCCTCACTGCTCTGAGCTTTTCCTGTCACTCACTTCATTCTGTGGAAAGATATACAGTTGGAGTAGCTGGCTGACTGTACACTGATTGTAAGAAACAAACCACAGAGGAGTAGTGGTTTAGAGTCTATGGTTTTAATCTAACCTGAAATTAGAAGTGTCCTCAGTAGTGAGGCTGCAATAGAGCCTATCAGATAGCAGTAACCATCACTTACGGAGCAACAGTAGCCCTCAACAGAAAAATCAAGCAAGCTTTAGTGGCATGATGGCACAACCAGCTAATCTTTATTCATGTTAGTATTCATGTAGTTTATGCCAGTGGTGGAGCGAGTTGCTGCCATTGAAAACATACTGATGCTTCACCAAGACCAATCAGAATTTCACCTGGTACTCAAACACATCTCCTTGACATGGAAAGAGCCTTTGTGCCAAGGGACAAAGGTGTGGATAACAAATCATTATACCTTTCCGTTTTGTTTTATTCCCGAGACTGATACAGGAATCTGATCCACTCAAAATCTTGAGCTGGTTTCAAAAAGACCCTGAAAGATGTGCACTCAGCATTGAGGATGCGTTGAAAAGCATAAGAATGATGAAAATTCAAGACAATCATCTGCTGAGGGGCAGAGCTTCAAACAGTGCAGTGTATCACCAGGAGGATTCGGTGTCTGTGGTGAACATATTAGTCTGCTTGTCAGATCCAGCGCTGGGCCGCCAGATTTTCACTTGAAGATGAAAACTACTCCAAATCCAAAGGAGCCAAAGGGCACAGAGGATGAGGTCACTACCTGAAGGCAAGTGAGAGTTAGAAGAGGTTTCCTTTTATGCTGACAGACTCTCTAACCTTGTCATTGCAATGACACTTAAAGAGATTAGTGAAAAGTCAGATGGCCCTGACCCATGTTTTGCTGTTCTTGGAAAGCCTAGTCATAAATCTGTTGGACTGGGTACAAATAAATATAAAAATAATACATCAGCAAATGTTACTCATGTCAATATGAAAGAAACCAAATATGAAGAGAGTCCACCTTCCAAGGAGACATTTTTTTATAAAGAAATAAACCAGTCTTCCAATAGAAATGAGCTTTTCCAGAAGAGAAGGGTAGGACAACAAGAGAAAGGAAAATGCCATCACAAAAACGTTTTGGCCAAGGTGAATTTGCAAATAATTTAAGCAAAGAGATACTAATTTATGCAAATAATGTGGTTTCAGTCATGGTGGTCTCAGTTATGAAGACCATAGAAGGTCAGGCAAATGACTCAAATATAGCTTGTATTATGCTGAAAACATGTTACTGAAGCACTCTAAGGCTGTGATTTCAGACTTAATAGCCTCCTGTATGAAAAACTTCACATGTCGTGGCTTAACCCCAGCCGGCAACTAAGCACCACACAGCCACTCGCTCACTCCCCCCCGGTGGGATGGGGGAGAGAATCAGAAGAGTAAAAGTGAGAAAACTCGTGGGTTGAGATAAAGACAGTTGAATAGGTAAAGCAAAAGCCACGCATGCA